ATAAATAATTATTATCTTTATAATAAAATTATATTATTAAACCAAATATAAATTACTTCGTTATTGTACATAAATTAAATTATAAAAAATTAAATTAAAAATCACACAAAAAAATGAGGAATTTCAAATAGTTAATTTGATACTAATATCGATATATTTTTGTCAAATTTTTATAACATCGACTGAGATAAATAATAAAATGAAATATTAAAATCACGATGTATCTCGTTGCATTGTGCGGGTACGCTTCTAGTATATATATATATATATATATATGTTGGTTATTATACAACCCATGACATTTGTACAACCAATACAATCCAATCTCAACCGTCCATTTTATTTGATTAATATGTTATTTCATAGAAGTTTTGATTGTTTCATAATATAAAGTATTGATCATAATTAATGAATCATATTCATCTTTCATAAATATTCAAATCATAATAAATTAATGAACTCTCATCATTTCCATAAATATCTCAATTTATTGGGTTGCATTGGTTGTACAAATACAACAGGTTGTATTTGAAACAAACTCTCTATGTCTCTCTCTCTCTCTCTCTCTCTCTATATATATATATATATATATATATATATAGGGAAGAGTTCAAACGAGAACACCTTCATTTTACGAGAATGTGAGAACACCCCTTTTCTATAGACAATCAAATGTGATACTATTATTCCATAACATATGATAGACATGTGATATTAAATCAGAGACGCGGGCTATTTTTGACGCGATCTTGGTTGCGGGCCAACCAAGTCGTCCTTACACCACTAAGCCCCCTCACATGTACTATCACATGTGATAATGGTGTTGTTGATATGATACTATAATCCATCAAGACCATCACGTGTGATGTTAAATCATAGACACAAACAACCTTTGGCGCAACCAAAGTCGTAGAACACGTTTTCCGCATACCACCAGATCCCCTCATGCGTATTATCACATGTGATAAGGGTGTTCTCGCGTTCTCGTAAAATAGAGGTGTTCTCGTTTAAACCTCTACATATATATATATATATATATATATGTGTGTGTGTGTGTGTGTGTGTGAGAAAGAGAGAGAGATATTCATATACAAATCTTTGAATCTTAATTTCTGAGTATATTTAATATTTTCACTTAAACCTTTCAAATATAAAATTAATGTTATATAATTTATATTATAGCAATTAATAATATGATAAATAAAGTAGTTATTAGAAATATAATTAATAATACCATCATCCTCATTCAAATATTAATGTATAGTTTATAATTTTATTTAATTCAATTATAAATTTAACCTTTTAACAAATAAAATAATGTATTTAGATACACTTAATTAAATTACTACAAGAAACAGAGTTTTAACAACGATTTTTGTCGTTACTAAAAATCAATTTGCGGTCACAAACAGTTTATAGGGACGATATGTCGTCGTAATAGTTTCTTACAGAAACGTATTATCGCTAAAAACACATCGTTGAAACTCATTTTCTATAATTTAGAAGCAACTTCCCATGAGTAAATCACAAAGATCTTCCTTTGAACCACAAGGGTGGTGCCTGATTGGTTTAAGCTTGGCTTCAAAAGGTCAAAAGTATCTGCAGGTCCCAAGTTCAAATCCAAAGAGAAATAAAAATCCCCTTGTGGCCACGGAGGTTTAAATGCGATGACTCCGGACTATCTGCAAAACAGGTAGTCGTCCTGCAATTAGTCGGCTCGCATAACAAATTGTATATCCAGGTTAATAAAAAAAGATCTTCCTTTGTAATTATATAAAGGGTCCCTTGATTTTTGTAATATCTAACTTAAAAAAAAACCACCTTTAGTTACGGATATATAGGATATTTTAATTTCTTTCCTGAATTTTCTATTAAGAAAATAAAAAGTAAAATCTTAGATATAAAAATATTATTGATGACAATTAAATTGGTACAAATTTGATCGGTACAAATTATAATTAGTTGGTAGTACCGTATTAAATATGTAAACTTGGTTGGTACATGAAATTAGAAGTTGCATACCACGGTTGTCCCTTGGTAACAACTTTTTTTAATTATTTATTTGTCTTTGAAACTTTTATGTATCGAATATTAAACTTTGTAACGTTAACTATTTCGTTTGAACATTTAAATGTATGCAAGTTTTATTTTTTACAACTACAACCCTTAAATATCATTTGTGTTACCTGAAAACTGAAAATGTCACTCAATATATGAACATAATGACAAGTTTTCGTTTATGTAACTTGAAGTTGGTATAAAAGCAATATTAACATGTACCAATTGATCGAGGGGGTTTAGGTACCACTACAGTAGTCTGGTGGTGTTTTATTGGTGCAGGGAGGCGGCGGAGACTGGAGTGGCCGGAGAAGCACAGGTGGCCGGAGTGCAAGTCATGTCGTCGTTGGAGAAGAAAGGGTGCGGTACTGTGGTGGTTAGTTTATGTGTTTGAATAATATATCAATTATTTAAAAGAAAATTATTATATTAATCCACAAGAAAAAGTACAGAAAAACTCAACTATAATTTTACTTTGAATAGTAGTCTTTGAACTATTTTTTTGAATGAGAAAATCAATTAACTTTCTCATTTTGAACGGTTAAGTTCCTGAACTATATTTTTCAATGAAAAACTATTAAACTTTCTCATTTTGAAGGAATAAATCCTTACACATTTTTTAGAATAAATAAACCATCGAACTTTTTAAAATTAGTTACTTAACACCATTTTAACAAAAAGAACTACTTGTAACCGACTAGGAAGGTTTTAGAGTAAAAACCCTTAATCAGTTTTACCTTTCCCAAATCCTACAACTTTCAAACCTCTTGCATACAACAATGTCGCTCTCCCTCACCACTCCCCATCGCCCCACTGTTGGCCGTTCTCTATATCGCATGTCACGTTGTTGGCACTTGTCATTGATCTCCTTCTTTTTGATCTATTTTTATCTATCAAAAGAGATAGATTCACAAAATAAAAATAAATATATTAAAAAGAGGGAGATCGATAACACGGGCCAACAACGTAAGAGACAATATGGAGAATGTACGAAAATGGGGAGTGGGAGAGTGGTCAGGACAAGGAAAATTCCATTGTAACTTTATGTCACATAAATCACTTTTTTTTAAGAACAGTACAACATTACAAACATAAAATACAAAGATGCCAATTTCTAACACATTATTCCAGCTAAGTTCGATACTGAGAGCCTTGATAATTTGAAGAACCGACTCAAGTTTTGAGAGTCAAGGATAAACTTCAATAACAGAAGGATAGGATTGAATGTGGTTCACAGTGTAACGACTGAATCCAGCCTCATGAAACACATAAGCCCATTCTTCCAACGTCCGTTCCTTTCCGTTGCTTGTATGAGCCATCATCACCATATCAAGCATCAACCCCACTCCTTTAAACTCGTGATCTTTTTTTCCAATAATCGTTTCTACAATAATCACCTTGCCTGTATCCTGAGGAATAGCCTCTCGACATTTTTTTAGTATCTCAATGCATTCTTCGTCTCTCCAATCATGCAATACTTTCTACGATATCGAAACAAATTCATTATATAAAACTAGAAGGATACTCGCGCAATACAACGAGATACATCTTGATTTTAATATTTCATTTTACTATTTATCTCAGTCGATGTTATAATATGGTCTTATGTGAATTTGAGAAAACGATAATGTTTTTATTTTTAAATAAATATAAATTTGAAGATATAATAAAAATTTGACAAATATATATCGAATTAGTGTCAAATTAACTATTTAAAATTCCTTATTTTTGTGTAATTTTTTAATTCAATTTTTTATCATAATTTAATTTACTTACAATAACGAAGTAATTTATATTTGGTTTAATAATATAATTTTCTTATAAAGATTATAACTAATTATTTTGTTAAAACTCGATAATTATCCTAATTATATTGTATATTTTTTATATTTTAAAATGAGATATTTATCTTCTATTTGATTATGTTTATCCGCAGTTAGTTATATGAATTCAAACATCGAGCTTTAGTAAGTTGTATTTATGCATAATTTACTTGTAATCTTGAATTTTAAATAATATGCATCAATATACAGCACTTTATGCATAAAAAATGGTTGTTAAGAGTTTTTATCAAATGTTTTATAGTATAGTATAGTATAGATATGATTACCTGATCCTAATGAGAAATAAGGTAGAGTTTCAAAGAACATATTAAACAAAAGGACAAACCAGGAAATATGCAGCATCAGCTTTTGGAACATAATCAAACATACTGCCTCCAACGTGTTCGACACCAGTGGCCGCGGGAGCGACCGACACCACATGAGGGAGATCGAAGTTAATCCCTTTGATCCAAGGAAAAGCCTTCACAATCGACCGTAATGCTGTCCCATCACCACCACCAACATCCACCATCGTCTTCAATCCCTCAAACACCTTTGGGCAACCTTCAATTACCGCTGCCACTGCCACCCGAGCATCGCATGCCATTGCAGCGTCAAAGAGCTTACTGTGACCAGGATTAGCCGCAGTAAATCCCCAAAGATCTTTGCCGCCGTGTGCCGCCTCAAACGGCAACTCTTTGTTGCCCAAAACCCAAGCACTTAGCTTGTGCCATGGAGCCAGCATGACCGGGCTGCTCTCTAGAAGCACCAAGTCGGCCATGGAATTTTCTCCATGCCTTGTTAGAAGCCGAGACAAAGAGGTCTGAGCATATCCAACAGATGTTTCGGATACAGGCTTCTCTTGAAATATCTTATAGTGGATCAAGAACCTCATGATCCGATACAAAGAAGACTGATTGCACCCGAGCTTCGACGTAAGCTCAGCAAGCGTCATTGGGGTTTCATGGTTCTCGAGGATATCAGGTATCCCAAGCTCAATGGCACACTTGACCAGAGCCATGGGAGTGAAACCCAAAATATATTTCCATATTTCTTCTTGGGCTGCTGCTTCTTCTTCTTCTTTCGAATGAATTCTCTCTCTTTTAGGCTCTGAACCCATTTTTCACTCAATTTAAATGCTAAAAATATGTGCATGAAGCATCCTTTAAATAGAAGAAAACTTGCTTGCAGAGATTTTATTTCCATGATAAGATTCGACGATAAAGTTTGCAGTACTAAAAATATAGGTAAAAATTGCAACTAACTACCTTTTGTTTTTTATCACACAAATCACATGTGAATTAATATTTTCATATTATAGGCACAAAACAAATATGAAAAAGCTGGTAATTTACTGTAACAGCTACGTCTCTATCGGTCGTTTTTATCATATATATATATATATATATGTATGTGTTTTCTGAGAAGAAAAGTAAGCATGGATTCTATTGGATATGGGTTGAGAATTAGGTTATAGTTTAGCAGCACAACTCTAATTAATGGTGTTTGCAGGCGGGTTTGATCCCCCTTCATTGATTTCATCCGAGATCTCAGTCTTGGCTGGCAGCATGCAAAATCTGATGCTTTCCATCTAATCCATTTCCTTGATTACTTGGTAACTCTATGTTTTTGTCTTGTTATAATTTGATTCATTGTCTCCAGCACATGATTTAAAAGACAGTTGAAATCACGTAAGACTAGCCTGTTTTCGTGAGACCATTTTTTTACCCTTGAAACTTTACGGATACAATGATAATTGGAAAGCATGGTTAGTGTTTCATGGTTCTCAAGAATATCGGGTATCCCGAGCTCAATCTTTAGGATTAATTTCTCTCTTTTATTCTTGAACCATCTTCACTCAAGCTGAAAACAAGAATTAAATGATTATTTATGTGAAATCCCAAGATTTACTTTCTAAAAGGCTCCTTGAGAAGAGAAAGGAAGTTTCAATATATATAGAAAAGAAATGCTCAAATTCTAAGGGATGTAGGACTCTGATACGTCCCTCTAATGGAAGCAGGCGTTTACAAATTGTCCCGATGTCGAAAGGGGGGCTAAAACGGGTGAGAGGACTAGAAAAGTACAATTTGGCGCAGAGTGTCAAGCCCGTAGAATGGTAAATCGTGACTCCAATATGATGTGAGAATAACCTCATACATATAAAGGAGAAATGGTTCAAATCTAGATGATACGAGACTCTTAACACTTTAGATAACAAAAATCCATTGCGAAGGATTTCATCTCATAATTATCCCGGACCGTTTATATCTCTACATGACCACTTGATGAAATGTGAAAGAAAGTGGGGTTTATGTCTCTAACATGACCACTTGATGAAATGTATAGAAAAGTGGGGTAAACTGTAGATAGGGCCTACTCGGATTTTATTTAATTCTTTCATTTATCACATGTTACAATTTTAATTAATGTTTTTTTTTATTAACCTGGATATCCAACCCGTTATGCGAGCCGACTAATCCCAGAAAAATCACCTGCTTTGCAGATAGCCCGGAGTCACCGCATTTGAACCTCCGTGGCCACAAGAAGATTTTTATTCCTCATTGGATTTGAACCAGGGACTTCCTGGTACTTTTGACCTTTAGAGCCAAACTTAAACCAATCAGGCACTACCTTTGTGGTTTTAATTAATGTTTTTATTCTCATTATAAAGATTCACAGATAAAATTTGCAATAATAATTAGGTAAAACTGGGTTTCTGCTTGTGTTTTAAAATAGTTTTTTAATTACATGTTTTATTTATTCATACAATCATTTTAACTGGGTTATTATGGCCAACTTTTAATATGATTAACCAAATGTTCGATTTAGAATAAAAGATTTGTGGTTTATTTTGGTTTGAAAAGTGTATAATGTTGAATCGATAAAAAAATATTTACTTTTTTAAAAACACTCTTAGTATGTTCATTGTTTTACATTTTATTTCAGTAGTTGACAAATTATGTTTCATCTTAGGTAAGCATTTTCTAACAGAAAAAAATTCATCACCATGTAACACGGAATGTTACACGTTGACTTGACTTAATGAGATTTGAGTATTCATCAAACGTTGAAATCCACATTGTGTTTTGTTTATCTCATGTTGGTGAGAAGATGAAGTAATTGAAGAATGATGTGGTATTTATTAAGAGGTGGTCAGGCTTTTTTATGTGAACTCATGGGGTTAGCTTATTGTGGGCCACCCTCTATACTCATATAGTTTACTAATTTCGGCTAACCAACTACATTATATATAAAAAAATTATGGTACTTATTCGGCTTCCACTCCATTTCCTTTTTGAATCGTTTTAATAAAGTTATGTTACAAAACATCACTATATATATATATATATATATATATATATATATATAGACTTGGGATCATGTGAGACCAATACTTTTTCATGAGACCCGTAAGACCAATTCCCAACAATTGGATTAGATCTACAATCGTTAGATCTTAACATTTACAAACGCCATGAGACTTCTCAATAATCACAAAATTACCACCGTCCAATTTTAGACCATTAGATCATTAGCTTATAAAGCTGATCAATGAACGTAAATTGGTCTTACGGGTCTCACGAAAAACCATTGGTCTCACGTGAACCCAACCATATATATATATATATATATATATATACACACACACACACATACATATATAAACTTGGGATCACTTGAGACCAGACTGTTTTCGTGAGACTACTTTTTTGCACTTAAAACTTCACAGCAAAATGCTGTGAAGGTAACCTTTATAGTGTTTTTGCTTTGAAGGTTCGACTCTTTTTTTTTACCTTCACATCGTTTTGCTGTGAAGTTTCAAGTGTAAAAAAGTGGTTTCACGGGTCTCATGAAAACAAACTAATCTTACGTGAATCCAACCCTATATATATATATATATTGTGTGTGTGTATATATATATATACTAGGTTCGATCCCGTGTATTACATGGGGTAATTTGGAAAAATTAAATTATGTCAGGAACTTATCTTATAGATATGAATGATCATTGAAAATACGATACTACTTCAGACTTGTACTCTTGAAATGATTCTGAAGAATAACTCTTCAGAATTGAATTTAGAAATTAAACTATATCAATAATTGGTTAAAATGAAGTTAACCCTAAAATAAAATTAAATTTAAAAATGAAATTATATCAGTAAATTGAATTTAAACTTAGCTGTAAATTTAGAACGATTCTTCAGACTTATACTCTTGAAATAAATCTTAAGTATAACCCTGAAGAATGATTTCAGACTTGGACTTGCACTCTTCAAATAACTCTGAAGTAAAACTGTTCAGACTTCAGAGCTCTGTATAATCAAGAAAAATCAACTTTTGTCGACGTCCGCCACAAATCCATCACTGAATTTAAAAATAAAATAAAATTTTATTTATACAACTTTCCCGACGGATTTGTAACGGATTCTTTTACTTATTTAATACTGTCACAAATCCATCGGAAATCCGTCATAAAATTGGTCTAATTTATCTAAATAAATTAATTAGCGTTAATTAATTAAAATTTACGACAGGTTTTAATTGATTTTTATATTTAATTATACTCCATCGGAAATTTTTAAGAAATTTTTTTTTATTATTCTCCTTTCCAAAAAATATGTTTAAGAAAAATCCAATGGATTGTAATTTCTAATAAAAAGTTATATTCCGTCGGAATTTATTTAAAAAAAATATATGTTTTATAAGAAAAAATAAAAACTTTTTTTTATAAATTCCGACGGAATATAATTTTTTATTATTAAAATTATTATTCGTCGGAAATTTTGAACTTCTTTTAAATATATATTTTTGGAAGGAAAAAAGTATAAATAAAACTTCTTTGAACATTACCGACAGATTTCAAGCGGAATTTGCATTTAACGGCGGGGGATTTTCCGACGGCAATATCCGTCGGATAGTTGTTTTTCCTATGGATTTCCGACGGATTTTGCCGTCGGAAAAACCACATTTTTTAGTAGTGATCAATCAAATGGGTATAATTGAACTGTTAATGTAAATTGTGTCTAGATACATATTTAATTGAACCACTAATATAAATTGTGTCTAGATACGTGTTTAGGCGGGAAAACAAAAAAACCGCCTCACCAGAAGATGACACGTGTCACCCAAGTTACTTATTTATTATAGGTATATATATATATAGGGTATATTTCTTTTACAACATTGTGTATTTGTACAACTCTTGCAACCCAATTAATTGAGATATTTATAGAAATGATGAGAGTTCATTTATTATGATTTGAATATTTAYAGAATATGAATAGAGTTCATTGATTATGATTAATACTTTATATTAGGAAACAATCAAAACTTCTATGAAATCACATATTCATCAAATTAAATGGACGGTTGAGATTGAGTTGTATTGATTGTACAAATGTAAATGGTTGTATAATTAACTCACCTATATATATATATATGGGAAAATCAAATATTAACCAACAACTTTGTGTTACCTTTGAAAATCATGACAACCAATCAAATTACATTCTTCTTGTAGGTTTATGTCATGCACACATTTTAATTACAAGGGTATTTCAGTAAATTTATTTGATATGTAACTCCCAAACAATTAATGAGGAGTTACAAATCATCAAATCCCAAAAAATATGCATTTATAATATTAATAATTTTTTTTTAATCTTGATCTTCCATGTTTATTGTTTTATCAGTTTTTAATTCGCATAGAAAACACGGTAGTAAAAAATTTCGATATCGATCAAGCTAATATAGACAAACGCAATGGAAAATAAATCGACAACAGTGAGAAGATTAAAATGGTTTATGATGACAATCGGAGTTCGAGGTCGGGAATTGAAGAAATTAACCAAAGCGAATGTTTTGGTAATAGATTATTATTTTTTTAGATTCTTTTTAATCGAAATTATGTTCATTATGATGTGTTGTGTTTTTTATAACTCATCTTGTATTGATATTTTTTTTCTTTAATTATTCAATACGTACCTAATTCACATGTTCAAATGGAAGCACATGCACAGCTCATTTTCATATTGTCATATTACCGACTTTTATGAATCATGAACCATTGTGTTCATGTTACTTCTATCATATGAACACAAATGTTATTTTTTAAGTTTGATACCAAATCTTTATAT